CAATTTTTAATGAAAGCCTGGGTGCAGCTTCTTTCTGATATTTCTTCCGTAAAATTTAGTGTTTCTGACGTTTTTTGTTAGTCGGTTAACGCACTTTTAGTGATTTTCAACATAACCTTTGTATGGGAGGTGGGCGTGGTTATTATCCGATTTTTTCCATTTTTGAACTGTATATGGAAATGCATGAATGAAACAACTCTGTAGAGTTTGGTTGACATAGCTCCGAGATATGTACAAAAAACTTAGTAGGGGCGGGACCACGGCCACTTTTCCAAAAAAAGTACGTCCAAATATGCCCCTCCCTAATGCGATCCTTTGTGCCAAATTTCACCTTAATATCTTTATTTATGGCTTAGTTATGACACTTTATAGGTTTTCGGTTTCCGCCATTTTGTGGGMGTGGCAGTGGGCCGATTTTGCCCATTTTCGAACTTAACCTTCTGATGGAGCCAGGAAGTACGTGTACCAAGTTGCATTATGATATCTCAATTTGTACTCAAGTTCCAACTTGCACGGACGGACGGTCAAACGGACGGACAGACATCCGGATTTCAACTCTACTCGTCACCCTGATCATTCAGGTATATAACCCTATATCTGACTCTTTTAGTTTTAGGACTTACAAACAACTGTTATGTGAACAAAACTCTAATACTCTCTTTAGCAACTTTGTTGCGAGAGTGTAAAAATTAAACGGAGGTCTCGCAGAACTCTACCAGTTACTGTTTAATTGCTACATCTGCAAAAACGCTCAATCACCAGAGCGAAACTTCATTTCGTACTCTGACAATCTCTCCGACCTTTCTCGCTTCTTCTCTGCAATAAAATCGATGGCGATAAAATGCCGACTGTCAATACTCCTAACATTTTAGGTGTATTATTCGACAGCCTCTCCTCCTTCACTACTCATACAATCGCATTAACTGCCAAAGTACGGAAGCCAAAAAAAATCCTCAAGTCGGCATCTCATGGGGAAAATATGAAGAAACTGGATGTAGTAAAACGCAGAAGAACACTTCGGAAGTGTCAGAGTACTACTCTCTGTACTATTACTGGATAGCCCGGCCGGTATAGTTCTGGTTAAGAAATATATCGAGGTCCTCTCCAAGCAGTTTCTCAGAAACCATCCTTACAGCCGTCCACTTGAAGCGCAACCGCCTTCTGGGAACATCAAGAGATCATTCCTGAAATACGTTGACGGCATCGAACATGGAATGAGTTCACGTAAGAATGGTTAGTGTCTTACGTTTGACCAGCGAACCCTGCTGATCTAACACCCTTCTCCCTATGCTTCGAACCCGTCGAAACAGCTCGTTTCCTATGCCTACCGTTAGATGATTCCGAAGACAACCAACCCCAACCTTAGCACTCAAGCCAAGATTAGATTACCTTTCTCTCGAAAACTCGTAACGTCGACTCATCAGATGTTGTCATCGTACATGCCTCTGCTCCATATGGCAGGACGGGTATTATTTGGTATTATTTGGTCTTTGTTCGTCGAAACTTAGACTTCTAGCTAAACGTCTTAAACTTTAAACTAGGCCATTCTAAAACACCAATTATAAGATTTACGCTACAACAAGGTCTTCTCATTATCATGTGTTATTAGATTGTCATCGTCACACACGACATTTTAGAATACAACTTTGCAATATGTATACACTGCAACGCTACCGTCCAGCCACGTTCGCACTAGAATTAGTAATTTCACTTACTTAAGTGGTGCTTCGGTCACTTTCATGTTGGCAAACTCACGTTCGGGTCACTGGTATCATTGCGGAAAAGTTAAGTGAAATTTCAATGCCATTTCCGGGTGTCGAACTTCTGCCGCTCCCATATCTACATATGTACACATAGTCGAAGAGAGCAAAGCAATGCAATATTATGGGAATGTACTACCATGTAGGGGGGAAGAGTCATAGAAGCTTCTTATTTGCAAGGCGTTGCCGAATTTCAACTGTAGGACTTGTAACTGCTACTCGAGTGATGACGAAAATAAAGGCGACGATTGCATAAACGAGCAAAGGATAAACGAGTGCAATATGGAAAGAGCAAGCGCTAAGCATTGTGGGAGGGCGATGAAATCGCAGTATGAGCATACACATGTGAGAGAAATGAGCTGAGGCAGGCAATAAAATAGAAATAGTGATGACATGACAACACGAACACATATGCGTGCTTGCAATGGGAGAAAACAATCGAAAGCGAAGGCTAGACAGGCTGAGTATGGCTTTAGGTGGTGATTCAATAAAAAAAAAGCGATGAACTACTGAACGAGTGCATAATTGCGCCGACTATAAAACGAAGGTTCACGAACACTACGAGAATGCCTCTATTCGACGCCTTGCTCTAGTGCAGCAACGCCCCGACTACACAGGCAAAACGCACTTGCGCTGCACATTTTCCGGCCTATGTAATCGGCGAAAATTTGTTGACCTGGAATCCTTGAGGCTGCAGCAATGGCGACGTAAGCCGCTAACTTTTTTTTTTCTGTTATTTTCTTAATGTGGGTTGTTGACATAGGGAGGCGGCTGCGTGCATGGGTGGTTGGGTGAAAGGCATATAAAAGTGCATAACAGAATAGGTGAAATGAAAATGTATAACGGTTAAATATATGTTGCTGTAAAAACGTGTTTGTGAGAGTGCAGAATTGTGTATGTGTTTGGGTAAGGCGCTTGTGTATGGTCAAAATAAAGTAAATAAAAGTGTTGGGTTGAGTGAGTGGGAGGGGGATTTTCGTGGCTTGTCAGGAGCTGTGTGAGGTAAATGTCTTTTTTACATACATACCATTGGGTGTGTATATATCTGTTGGGTATCTATCCGGATATTGCAACCCTGTGTCTGCTGACTTTTGATGGATGAACGCAATGACCTAATTATTGTATATAACTGCCTGCTACAATTGTATCGGCAAATAAATAGGGTAAATACTTGAGTTATATTAATTAAGTGACCTTCCGACACTCACTCGTTCCTCTATCATATATATCCTTGTATATATATATATAGACAAATAATAGAAAAGTATGAACTACTAAAGTGACGAAAAAATGTGCGTACATTTGGCATTTGTTGAGAGAGTGCTCGAGAGACATAAATATTAGATTTCCTTAGTACTAAAGAAGCTTGAAAAAACTTGAAAATTTCGAATATCGACTGAAAAATTAATTCAACAATTCATATAAAGCTAGGGAGTTCTTGTGAAATATATAATATTTCAATGTTCTACAGTTTTTTCTTTACTGGCGTAGACAACGCTTACGCGAGTTAACATCAGCGCATCAGTCGTTTCTTCTTTTTGTTATTTGTTGCCTATTCGAGATAGTAAGGTTAGTCAGGTCCTGGGTTTTCACCACCAAAATAGCAGGGCGGGAATGTTGAGAGTTTGGTCTTCGTTCGTCGAGGGAGTACTTTAATTTTCAACTCAACACTCCTCAGTTGGCAAGAGTTATTCTGGCTTGCTGTTGCCAACGGAATATAGACTCCTATGTTATAACTGTCAACAGTGATGTGGGAGTCAAGTCGCGAGTGCGTTGTCTCTTTTTGGTTGATGCCTTTTTTTTATTTTGTTTTACTTCACAGTCCAAGAAATCGGCGTCTGAAGCTTATCGCAAACAACACACCATGATTGGTTTGATCGTTTCAAAGCAACGACCGCCCGCTTAAGGAAAGGCCAAAAACCTAATGCCTTCGAAGACCGTGAAATGGGGGCGTTGCTCGACGAGAATCACGAAGAAGAGCTTACTTCAGCATTGTGAGTCGCCCTCAAGCTATTCCAAAGTGACTACATGCGTTGGTAATGATTCACATACAAGAAACTTGGGTTCCTTATGACCTCCTTACCAGGAGAGATCCAAAAGAGTGATTCAACTCGGCCTCACATTGCCAAACTCGTTAAAACCTACCAGGAAACGTCTAAATGGAAATTCTTAGATATAAGACTAATCTTTGTTCCGTTCGATGACAGATGGTCTGACTCAGAATTCGACTTATTTTTCGATAAATGCGAAAACGCAAGCAAAGAACCTGAAAATATGAATAGTGTTTATGGGCTCCTCATACTTTAACAGCCTTCAATGTTCAATTTTGGTTTCGTCGAATTTGATGTCAACAATGCACAATGATCTCAAAGCCTATGGGTACCACACGAGTGTACACAAAACAATCTGATCTATCAAATTTCCAACGAAAGACTCAGTGTTGAATTTTGATATATACGATTCATTTTGGAAGCAGATAGTTACTGGTGTTGAAAAAGGCAACGTCAGGGCGAAATGGTTGTGAACCAGTATAGGTCAGTTGGCACAAATGGTGGCTAAGACCTGATGGAGCAGCAAGGCTTCCAGTAAAGTTTTACTTTGTATTTGGTGGAATTGGTAGTGAATCATCAACTATGACAGAGTCAACCGCCCCTAATATCCCCCACCCCCCCCTTAAGCCAAATTTTCAATTCGGTCCTATACTGTCAACAATCCTCCAAACTGTAGGAAGCAATCACTCAGGAGTGACTAACTTTTGACAATGGCAGAGGAATTGTGTTCCATATCAGAATAACGTCAAGTCACATATATCGATTACGACTAAAAGCTCCGGAAGCTTGGTTGGAAGAGTCTTATGCATTCACCTTATGATCCGAATCGGGTACCAAGTGTTTGGATACTATCTTTTCTTGTCTAACTTGAATGATTTTGCGGGTGAAAACTTCGCCTCAGCAAAACCCAAAATTGTTCTAATTTTCCGCCGATAAAGATAAGGGTTTCTATGAAAATAGTATTGTGATATTACCTTCTATATGACAATAGGTTATGGAACGACTTCAGCAAGTCGAATGATCCAACTACCTACAATTTATGAACTCTCGTTCATGCAGTTCTATTAGCGTTAAGCGCGGGGACTAAAAATTTAAGCTGTTTATATACTCGTCTTTATTTAAAAATACAGTTCTGAACATCATGTTTGTTTTTTTCTCTACTAAACAACAACTTATTTTCTACTTCCAGCTTACCGCAGAAAAAAAATTAACGGTAAATTATATGCTGTGTGCTGTAACCACTGTTGCCACAAATATTTAATTCAAAAAATTAATGTGCATTACTTGCTTGCAACGAAAATGTAAATGTGGCAAGAATGGCAAGCAAATGTTGCGCATAGTTCGTCTGTTGCCAACAATTCCGTATGCAATAACCGCAAAATGCGCAACAACAAAACGCCATATTGAAACCGAACACATGTGAAAATCGCTTGCTGGCGAGCGGCAAGCAAATTAGGCGTCATACAACAACAAAAATACAATATTGTCACACATCATCGAATATTTTCTTAGTCAAACAGCAGTTGCTCGCATCAGCAACCCAACATGTATCGCTTAAATGTACAACAACAGCAACAGCAACAATCTCAACAGCAATCCACGTCATCTGCGTCGACGTCGCATGCCAAAACAGGGACGCAAACGTCGTCTAACAGCGCTGGCGCCACCGCCACCGCCACCACCATCATACCCAGTCACATTCTGCTGCAACAACAATTGGCAGCTGCAGCCGCTGCCGCTGCGGCCGGTGTCAATCAGCCACCGGCCACCATTGCTGCAACGCATCTGCTCAGCGTCGCCGCCATCGCCAGCGGTGAAGTGAGTAATGCGCTCGATTTGAATGGTGTGCACCAACAGCAGCAGCAACAACAACAACAACGTACACTCATCCATCAGCCGCGGCAAGCGCATGTCACACATCATCAACGTCTGCATGCCAACAACAATAACAACCACAATGCCAGCAGCATTACGTTGGGCGAGAAGCCCACAATCATAACGAATGTATTGGCCGCATCGGTGGAGGAGAAAATTAAAATCATTTCGACTGCCATTAAAACGGAACCGCTGCACGACGTCATTGCGTTGACGAAGCATAACTCAGCGTCGGCAACGGCCGTGGCGACACCAACGTCAGCGTCACTGACGGCCGTTAACAGTAGTAGTTCTCACAGCAACTTCAGCAATACTAGCATTAATCGTAACAGCAATAATAATACTCTAAGCAACAGCAACAATAGCAATAACAATCACGGCAATACGGGCCACAGCAACAACAATGCTGTGAACAACAGCAACAATATAATCGCACTGACTGTCAGCACACTGCCGTCAACGGCATCCTCATCCAGCGGTACTTCCATTTCCGTTGCTGCCAATAAGTCTTCTGCCGCAGTGAGCAATGCAACAACAATAGCTGTGAGTCCGCTGAATAATGTGAACACCATAAATCTAGTTGTTGGTGGCGGCGGCGGCGGTGCTGCTGCGACTGCTGGGGTTTCCGGCGCTGCTTCAACGTCCAGCGGCGTTGCGGGCGGTGGCACTTTGGTGATCACAACTGGCGGCAATCATAGCGCAACGGCGTCATCCTCTTCCGCGGCAGCTTCTGGTGGCAATGCCAGCGGCACTGCCAATGGACATCTGGTCTTTGTGCCCAAGCGCGCCCGTTTGGAATGGTGAGTTCATTTTATTGCCTTTCCGCGTTGACCTTGTTATGTTTATGGTCTATTATACTACTTTTCTTTCTTGCCTGACACCTTTTCTTATTTGTATTGCAGTCCTCCAAGTAACGAGGAATGGATTTCCACCTCTAGTCCGGGTAGTGTGCCCAGTTCAGCGCCACCATTGAGCCCATCACCGGGTTCACAAAACCACAGCTACAGCGCGAATATGTCGAATGGCTACGCATCACCGATGTCGGCAGGCAGCTACGATCCATATAGTCCCAATGGTAAACCAGGTGAGTACTAGAAATTAGTCATACATGTATACCTTGAGGTTACTCCAGTAGTTTAGCGTTCTTTAGGCTTTCAAAGACGTTTGTTATTGCTTGAATAATTTTATTTAATTTTTCAGTTTTCTCTGTGCTTTTTGTCTTATAGTCCAGTCATTTGGGCTAAAATTAAGCAAGAATCTCGGAATTCGAGATACCCAGCTGTAAGTCTGTAAATATTGTATATTGACACCCTAAAAGTTGTCTCAAAGCCTACATATGGTAGATACACCCTACCTCAATATACAATATTTACAGACTTGCAGCTGGGTATCTCGTATTCCCAGGTGAACTTACCATAATGACTGGACTATTATGGAAGCGCAGAATAGACCTTAGGTCGCGGTGCAAAACTCAATTTATTTCTATCTAGTCCCGAGGAACGAGTGTTTTAACGAAGTTGTAGCACAGAAAATAAGGTTAGATTACTGAATTTAAGAGTGGCTACAGAAAGACTGACTTCTATTAACCGGAGATTTATGTGAGAGTTTCACAGGTCTTAAATGATATGATAAAAGAGACCTCTGCTGTATGATAGTCGGTCTCTCAGTAAGCTTTAGTTACAGTTTCGGTGAAGAGTTCCCAATACATAATTTTTTCATAATGAGATTTAGTTGTTTTAGGCATAGATTAAAGCCTTCATGTTGTCTTTTCTTGGCCTTATATAAATTTCGATCCATTCCTTTTCAACACGACTGTTGTGTGGAGGGATGTTTTGTAAATAAAGGACTTGACAGATCGCTTTTTGAAAGCATTCTTCTTTGCTGGCATAGATACCGCTTATAGTCGAGTTAACAAAAGCGCGGCAGTCGTTTCTTCTTTTCCAAGATTCCAAGTGAAGCCAGATCCTTCTCCACTTGCCCTTTCCAACGGAGTGAAGTTCTCTTCCGAGACTGTTGTTTAATTTTCATTGGAGGCATTTTTACGTGGCGAGTCCTAAACCCAGCGCACAACCCTGGGTCGCCTTCAAACAGATGTTATTTGGATTCCCAGTGGATACCTGGTCTAAAACTGGAAATTGTGAGCTGCTTGAGCCATTTGTAAAAGAATCGTAACTTTCCTCACTTGCGTGAATTTCTATACGAGACTACATCCACCAGTTTGTCTGAAGTTACTCTTAAGAATTTTGATATCCTATAAAATTTCGCTTAAGTCTTCGTATGACTTACATACTAGATCTGTTGTTCTCTTACATTCTAGCTCAGGATCTGACGACCTTAACTTTCGCTTAGCAGACATTGGACGACGACCAGCTCCTTTACAAGATATAATTCGATTCATGTGTTAAATTATCAAAGTTGTGATGGAAACATCCAGGCACTTGCTTTTCCATTGTCCTCCATTGCAAGACTAAAATTTAAACATCTCCGCAGTCATACTTCGTCTAACTAGAAGAGGTAGTCGAAACCGATATTGGTTGTTAGGCTCAAGACGCTTTATCGAGTTATGGGGGTCTTTGCGAACAACACAACGTACCGACGCTCTACGTTGTCCAAGTAATATCCCTCTTAGTATCGACGTTCTCAGCTGTCCAATTAAGACACTACTTAGGTTCGAACTTTTAACTTAAACTAATCCTACCAGCATACTAGAATAGTGAAGAAACTTTAGTAAAGCATAAAAAAACGACTATTTCAGCCTTAAAAACCATGTTCCTTCTACATGCAATACTTGAATGATATAGGAGAAAGTAGGAAGCTTTTTTGTTCATATTTATTGTCGGCTCAATACTCAAGTACTAGGTTTCATTTCATTCTTTTTAATTAAGGCAGGCGTCAAGTTGTTGTACTGACAGCAATAAGCTCCGTTCTTCGTACAACGTCTATGTACATACATATGTAGTATGATGTTCACATATGTATTATATAAAAAGGCACTTGTAACTGAGCTTATGTAGTAATAAAACCAGTTTCTCAGGCATCAGGTCCCCACGCCAGCTTCCCTTTCCGATTAGAACCCCACGGTAACGCCTTAACGTTGTCGATTTTATCAACATATCATCAGTGTCTTCTAAACTTATGTAAAGTATAGAGATGTATAGTGTGTATATAGTGGGTATGTGCCCGTAAGCATATTAGTTTACCGGCATGTGCGACGTGATATAGCGTCTCATGGTCTCACAATGCGTTACAAAGCCCACATTCAGCTCCCCCGTCTACTTTCAAGCTTATATATTATGTATATATGTATGCATTTAAGTGATAAAACGGGCGTATAACAACAGCTCCGGGCATGCTGTTATCGTTTTTCTGCTTCTTTAATTTCTATGCTGCCTGCACGACTTATCCTTGAGTGTTGGCATTACATTACACACGCATTGAAATTCATTAGCCGGTTATGTACATACTACCTATATGCATATATTTATATATACATACGAAGGTACATATGTTTATATACTATGAGGTGGTTTGTAGGAAAGCACTTGTTTGTTGTAACGCTGTTTGTTGGCGTAAGTGCTGTAAGTACATCTGTGCAACGCATATCAACTTGCAACACGTCGTCATCTAGTAATCCACATTACAAGCGGCGACACACTTATTACATACGAAATTACGACTCTACACATTTGTAATTACATTTTCACACGCTTTGCTCATAGATTTCTGTAACGATTTGGACATTATGTGTGCTTTCGATTTTCTGATTAATGAATTTGTATCATTGAACTATAAACGAAAATGAATTCCGCAAACACTTTTTGTTCAGAAAAGGTACCACGGCGTTTGACTGTGGTACTTACTTTTATAGCTTATTTAGTGCGTACTTGTCAATTTCGAATTTCGAAGTCTGAATCTATGTAAGATTCCCCAAAAACTATAGTGTTTGGTCTAATAAAGTGTGACTTCTAAAGGTAAAGTTACTAAAGAGCTAGTTGTTCCAACAGCTTTCAAATATATTTGTTTAAAATTTAGTTTAAGATACCTAGGCAAATTATCATGCAAAGACTTAGTCTGAAAGAACCTTTTAAATCCTAGAAATTTCACTCCAAAACTCACGTTCTCCAGGACAAATGTACATTTGCATATTAACCGTCAAATAATCTTCAGCGATAAGACACTTTTTTTGTCTTAATCACGTAAATCAGAGGCTCTATAAAAAGACTCTTTTGCCTCCAGAATAATGTGCTAGGGCTTACACTGAAGGAACATTAAAAAATCGTAACAGTTTCCTTTCTGAACTGTTTCTAAATTAACATGAAAATGTGATGAGGCACCTTCCTTGCTTAACGGCCGCGTAAGTTAAAGACTTCCCAAAAGGGGAACAACTGATAACAGCTCTGGTGAAAAAAGTAAAGCATAATTGTACGGATGGTCTTCATAAAAAAGAAGAATATTTTTTATTACATTTCATGTTTTTTTTTTTGATGGATCTGAACTAAAAGTTCTATACCACCCTTTGCTATAAGTAGAAAGCCATCCCTCGTTATTAAAACCTATATATTTTTACGCCTAGCAGTTATTTTGAAAATGTTAGCCTCCAAATCCACTGCTCAGTTCTCTCTTTTTACAATCGCAGGTACAAATATTTTGGTGCATTTTTGAAAACTATTACTTGATTCACCATGAAATAAAATTTATGTAAATTTAAGCTGTCAGCTGATTTTTAGTGCTCTCGTCTTCAATTGTGATATATATATATATATATTAAAATAGTGTATTTAATTAAAACCGTAAATAAGCTGTAGTTCAAGCAAAATATTAGTTGCAAAAAGAACTTGCATATCTCCCCGACGGGGAATTGAACCCCGGTCTCCCGCGTGACAGGCGGGGATACTGACCACTATACTATCGAGGATGTTATGAGAAAATGAATCCATATCTTTTAAGAAGTAACTGGTGTAGAAAAATCAACTCTGTTGTGTCCTAACCAGAGAAGGCACGATCTTCTTTTACCACAGTCTAAGAGCGCTGAAAGAAGGACTCAATTTAAGGTTAGATTTATCTCACATCATAAAAGATTAGCAGATGCTGCAAGTATTTAAGTTTTTGTTGTACAAAGAAAAATAGTTTTTAGACATTTAAACAAATGAATGTTGAAAAATGTATTTTAAAAAAAGTACTGCTTTTATGTTTAAGCTTGCAGTTGTATTACAGAAAAGTACAAAAAAAAAAACAAAAACATCAAAAATGAGATAAAAATGATAAGAAGGTTGTCGAATTCTAAACAGAGGATCAATACTTACAAACTGAAATGGCATGAGTCAGTTTTTAATAACTCCATAAGTACTAAAAAAATGTATTTTCACATCTCCCCGACGGGGAATTGAACCCCGGTCTCCCGCGTGACAGGCGGGGATACTGACCACTATACTATCGAGGATGTTGAAACATGTGCGACAATGTCAAAATAAATGTTAGAAAGCTTCTAATGTCTGACATTAGACAGTTGCTGTCTTCAGAATACAGTTACATTTACGACTTTAGCATTGTGATTTGCTAGCGACATCTGTCGCGCCTAAAAGACAGCTTTCATTTCTGCATAGCTTCTGTGTTTTCACAACAGATGTCGCTGCGTGAAACATAGGCGACTGCTTAGTCATAGTTGAACTTTCCCGCAAAAGCTCTGTTGCGTACGTGTATGACAGCATTTACATTGCCATCGTCACACTGCTTTCGGTCGCACAAAGCTACTTGTTTTGTTTATATAAAAAGTTATTGCTCCCGAACAAAGCACGCGAATGTATAGAGTAAAGCGTAGACCGAAACAGCTCAAGTGAACGCCAATGACACCAACAAGCTCGCCACATCTACACGCTAATCAAAGGTTTCTCTAAATTTAGTTAGATGAGTGGCCATTTAACAATATTAGAAAGAGAGTGCGTAAGGCAGCATAAGATGTAGAGCGCAGAGAGCAAATGAGAAATTGTGTTGGTGTGTTAGAACGTTAAATTGGCTCATGCGCAATTGCGCACTTCGTTAGCACACAAATACAACAGCGTTGTATGCGATTGTGTGTGTGTGTAA